AGACATGGGAGGGGCGCGTGGGACAGCTGACAGGAAAGGAGGGTCCAGACGAAGCATCATCAACGGAGGGAAGGGGATTACTGATCAGCTTTTTACGTGAAAGCAGCTGCTTTAACTACAATTTAGGTTAACTTTTAATGATAGGCAGCATGTTGCCCCCATTTTCTTTTCTTTGAAAAATATCAAGTCAAAAAGTCTTTCGTTCGGTGACTGCGCACCCCATCTGGCTTAAATAACTAAGAGGACATCAGCACCAGCGCAACCTTGAACCTACTTCAATCTGTACTCCCTTTTTTCTTTTTTTCAATAATGTGTAAGTAATTTGACAACTCAGTGGTACTCAATCACGTTACATCCAAGACTCCACGAATCAAAGTTGTTTAAGTATCGAATATATTACTTGGCCCTCTTATAAGATCCACTTTAACAAGTAACTTCATTAACTGCAATGGCGTAGGAAACGTAGACACTGAATAGTTTGTTTCTTTTTGGGGAAAAGTTATGCTTTAACCATGAAATTAATGATTAGCTTAAAAGGTAAATTACATTATTAAATTAATGAAATTTCTTCACTAATTTCTACTTCTAAACAACTTTTCTGGGGTGATACGTATGGCCTTGAAAGATTGCAACAGCAGTGTCCCCAAAAGGATGATTGGATCCTAGACAACCCTGCAAAGGAAAAATGAACTATATACCAAGTTTAGACAATTCCTGTTTGATCAGGTTAATGTCTTGTATGAAGGCGTTTTTGAAAATACTGGCCTCACTTAGTAATGTACATATTGAGGAAAAGATTATATGTCTATTTTTTTCATGGAGGCTGAATCTCGCAAGGATGCTCCAATTGAAGAGAGAGAGAAGAATAGTGCACGTGCATAATGCAACTGGAAATTGAACAGGGTCTGACTGTCATGTTCTTGCCTGGATCGAAGAGATTTTGAGAAAGCAGGAGTATATGCCAGGCGAGCAGCAGCACTAGCCTTAGGGCGCTCGGCAACGGCTCCTTGGATCTCAATGGAACATGGGTCGTCGTTTGATTCTATGGTCCTTCAACGGTTAAAACGGAGGACGGACTGTATGCCGTAACACGTGGGCCCAAAAACCCGATCGCCCGACATCGACAAAAATAAATATCTCAAAGATGAGAGTTGTCATCAATTTTTTTTTATAGATGTGATTGATCATTTATTAACATGATTCTAATCAATAAAATTCTAAATTAATTTTAAATTCATAAAAAAAATAGAATTGATTTGCTGTTTTTTAGAGAGATGGGTTTAAAAGTGTAATTACGCACGAGAAAGAATTAACACTTCCGTAACGCTCTTTTCACGAACGATACTATTTAATTTTGTGTTATCATATTAGAGTCTAAATTATTGATGTTTTCTTAATCTTTGTTTATTACTTTATTCTTTATTTTATTAACAAATTAAGTTTTTTATTCAGCTTCGTAGATGCACGTGATACAGACGTAAAATAATGTTATAATTTGTTTAATTTAAATAATAAGAGTAACAATCTTTTATCAAAAATTTGTTTAAGAACTATCCCAAGTGAAGTTTCGAAATTTTCCTCACTTAAGGATATTTTCGAAATAACTCATCTCTACGAGCTCCTCGAGGAAATCTTATTATTAGAGTTCCCATCTCATTAACAAGATAATATGGCATGCTATGACAGGATATAATTACGAGTAATGTATATATAAACGCACTTAAATATGATTTAGTTAATTTGTAATTTGTGAAACAATGTATTTAATAATTTAGGGCACTTTACTACCTTGTTTGTATTTATTATTATTTTTTATAATTTTATTTTTTAATTTATTTTTTTGTTATGTACATTTTTAAAGCTTTTTATCTAAATTTGTATTTTTTATTAACAAGATTAACCTCTTTTACTTAACTATATAATTTATCAAATGAACAATTAATTAACTTTAATAATTAAATTAATTTTTATTTAGTAATATTTGTTTAAGCTAATTAGCTGACTTTAATTTAAGTTTAAATACAATATTTATGTAAATTTATTTTTTCAATATACTTTTTTTTTTAAAAATGATTATTTGAGTTAATAGATATTGAAGTATAAAATTCAAATTTATCCTGAAGCTTAAGTGAAAATTCGTTTCAAACTCCGCACTTAAAAAATCATCTTTGAATTAACCTAAATTAACCATTCGTTTGTTAATATTTATAATATTATATTGTATATTCTATATATTCTTTTATAATTTTCATCTAACTATACCACACCAATAGTTTGATAATTTTCAACTCCGTATTTTCATTTTATATTAATCGTTTTTCCACTTATTACGTTTATTATTATTATTTTTTTTATTATTCCTAAACCTATTACCACTAGCATATTTTATTTAGACATTTATTTATTTTTCTCAACCCTTTGACATAAGTTTCAATTTCCTAAGCTCGCATATTTTTAACAGATATTCTCAAACTCTTTTGTGGTTTAATATATTTTCATCTCTTCTTTCCTTCTTAAATATTCTTTTTGTTATATATCTACATTTTGTATGAAGGTTTTACTATTATTTTATTTGTATTAATTTTTAATCCTAAGAACATACTCTAGAAATTTCTAAGACATTATATTAAAATTAATCTTATAGCATCAAGTCATGACGCTTAAACTAAATATTGTGGGTTAAATCCAAACAACCAAGTTATTATCGATCCATTAAGCAAATGAATGAGAGTTTCTTTACCTGATTAGGCTAAATTGGCTCAAGATAATTGGACTGACCACAATCTGTGCTAAACACACCGTCTGGCCTTGAACAGCAGTCCCAGGAGCTCCAAAACGGCGCCGTTCAGTGCAGCGGAAATGGGTCTCTTTTTCTTTTTTCTTCTTTCCTCCTTCCTCTTTCTTCCACCGCAGCTGTCTCCGTACTCTCTACCCATTTCTTTGCTCTTTCACTAGCTCTCTCACACAAGATCCTTCCCTCTGCACTCACCCAAATCGGCGGCACAAACCCAAGGCTCTCTACCCTCCAACCGGCAGCACAACCCAAGGTTCTCTTCCCCCTTTTATATGATCTAATCTCCCTCCAAAATACTTCCAGATCTTTACTTCTCTCCTCCAAAAAGCTGCTACCTTTCTTCTACTTTCCTCACTCAAAACCGGCAGCTTGAAGCCCCCTCTCTCTTTTTCACCGCCGTCTGTTACCCAAAGCCGAATACCCCTTTTGC